GGGCTCCTCTGACTGGGCTCCACGTGCTACATATGAATAAATTCTGGAGCTGAAAGCTCTGGAGTTAATTGCTCCTGGACACACATTTGAATGATATTCATGTGCACTAACTGCATGGGTAGATGCGCCCAGTATTTAGTATTAATGAACTGTAATCCAGAAGTGTAATTACATGGCCAGGCACCTGGGACAACTGCCAAACAAAGGACAGCTTCCCGTGCAGTGCTGTGCAGTGAGATCACAATTGCAATCTCATTGTAGCTGTTTCTACCCCCCACACCCTCCACTCCCAAATCAGAGCCTGGGGCAGTTGCCCAGATTGTCCCACCCTAGTTACACCACTGCTCTAATCTGAGAGCATGCATGTATGTAGGTGGTAGTTATGCTTGTTATAGAAGTTATTTCTCTTTTGGTCTTCCTCATGACCTTTATACATCAGATTTGCTACAAAGGAAAACTGATTTTTTTCCCCAGTCACAATGCTTTTCAAAGAGCCACATTTATGGGGAAAATAGTTTTGACTACATAGAAATAATTTTGGTGCATCTGTAATGCTTTTTGTCTTGAAGATCTAAAAATTCTTCAGTTTAAAATAATTAGGTCCCACAGTTCCCCTGTGAGAGAGGTAAGTAATAGTATACGTGCTATATAGATGAGAAAAATTAAAGAAAGAGAGAATGTAATTTAGCACGTTTTTATATGGCAAGTCAGTGCAGAGCCAGAAACAGAATTTAGGAGTCCATCTCCCAGAGGCAAAGAAGCCAATCCATACTGAACAAAACCATAGTAAGTCCACTTGTTTAATTTGTGTGTATTCATCCCTCTCGCTGAAATGGATAAGAATTTGGAGTGTTCATAGGGTGTGTCTACACTTGCGCATTTAGTGTACATTAGCACAACTTAAGGCACATTAAGGACATGTGTCTACACATGCGCACCTTTCATGCGCCTTAAAAATAGCAATTTTAAGCTATTTAAGCCTAAAATTTGATACCTGCATAAAGCAGGTATTAAAAGTATGTGTGAATAGCTAAGGCTCATTAGCAAACATGTAGACGTGCTAATGCATATTGATGCAGTGTGTCCATTGACTTGGGACTAATTTTAGTCCCAAATTGGTCTGCACTCCTGTGTTAATGTGCCTTTACACATGCTTGCGCTGACACACCTAAATCACCTTAATGCACATTAAATTTAGGCGCAGGTAAAAGCACGTAGACTGTAGGGTTAGGCTTGAGGTAGAAATATTTTCTGTCAAGTTCTGCTTTCACTTACACTTCTATAAAAGACAAGAGAATTTGATTCTGTTGTGTGTGTTTATACTGATATCTTTTTTGAACCAATTGTATAGCTGAGAGACATTAGCCAAGCTGAGGGTGACCTGAGGAAAGGTAACTAATACCTGAAAGCTTGTGTAAAATCTCTCCCAGCTATATGGTTGGTCCAATAAAATATATCACACAAAATAGAAGACATCACCCTTGCCTCTTGCTGTACCAGTGATTGTCCAGAAAATATGCATCACTCCAACATTACCACAACATGCTTTTACTGTTGCCATTTTTGCCTTGACGTGCTAGCTTGGCTGGACTGTTTCCTTTGAGGAGGAGAAGAAATTGGTTATAGGAAGCAGATGTGTCTTTGGTGTATTTTGGTGGCCAGGTATGTTTTGCTTATTTACAAAGAATGGGCACAAAATTCTGCTTCTGTGAACCAAGCAGCAGGCAACTTTCTTGCTCCCAGTTTCTGAACCTGTCTTTTGTGTTTCCCAAGGAGTTCTGCTTCCCTGCTCCCTCTCAAGGCCACTGCTCATCTTGCTTCGTGGTGGCTTTCTGTCCTTCTTGTACAAACACACAGAGCTGCAACCCATACAAGATCATACAACTCAGGCTCTGCCATGTGGCTGATTTGCCTTGGGTGTATCTTCTATTGGTTCCAGGTATCTACCTCCAAAAAGGGGCTTAATTGCTCCTTTCATTTAGGCTGAAAGAGGGATATGCACCATTTTAATGGTATCTCAGATTATCTATAGCAGAAATCCACTTCCAGGATAACTGATAGTTATAGATATATATTTTAGACACACACACACACTCCCAGCCATTTTGACAGATGGATAATCTGTCAGGCAACAGAATTACAAAATCCTTCATATCACTTTTCTAATTGTCAAAAAGATGTAATTTTCCATTTTATTACTGTGGGCAAAATTTCACACTAGTCTTAAAACATCAAATGTTATCACAGATTTTATCAAAGGAAAACAAATCAAGAAGAAAAAAACCATGACAGTTAATTATCATTTATGAATGCTCTCATCCTAGTTGTGTTCTCATATTTCAAACGTGTGATAATTTTTATGGTGTTCAGCAAGTCATGCTTTAGCTCCACTAATCACATTTTGATAGGAAAGTACAGTGTGTAAGTATCAAAAAGAAAGATGAACCTTCTAAGGTTTTGATTTTCATCCACTGTTTAAAAAAATAAAAAAAGTGGATAAATCTAGAAGGAAGTAATTAAGGACAGAAGCACTTATACCGCACTGCACCCCATGCTCTTGTTTCCCAGTAGAAGTACTATTTGCTAAGGATGAACAGATACTGGGGATTATAGTAATTATGAGTGCAGCTAAGGACAGTACTGTTTTCAGTTCTTATTTGGAAACCCTGGTTAAAATCTGATTTATGTAAAAAAGTTTGGAAGCTGGTTATGGCTAGATATTTTTCCTCCCCGAAGATACAGACTCAGGATATCTCCTGTTCTCTTCACAAAGCAAAATTGCTCACAATCTTAATTCTACAATATTCATTGAATGATCTGTCCCAAACTTGTTATAGTTAATGTATTTTCAGCTAGAAAATATGCAAATTAGTACCGTTTTTAAGTGTTCATATGATGGTAATTAAAGCTGTAATAATTCCCATAATTATTGATGAATATGCCAGATTTGAAAACTTGTCTAAGTCGGTCCCAACCATGCAGTTTGTCCAATCAACAGTATCACACACAGAAATTCTTGCCTCCCTAATAACAGCTAAACAACTATTGCTAAAATATACAAAGGATTACATTTTTGCCATTTACATTTAATAAACTGCCAACAGTTTAAATTGGTTTTCAAACTTCAAAGAATCTGCTCTTGGACCCATTAGAAATTTGAGTTAGCAATTGAATTAGTCTGTTCAGTCAATATTTATATTGCATGTGTTTGTCAATAGCATAAATGGCTAGATGGGACAAAATAAACATTTTCAAACATGAACAGACTGCATTTAGTAGCAGTGGAATGCATCTAGTTAATGAAAGAGATTGTCCTAAGGCATTGTATGGCTCATAATTACAGTTGTAACTCCACCTTCTAGCTTATTTTGCTCTGAGGAATCCAAGCATTTGGATTCTCTATTTTGAATAAATGTGGATATTTCCTTCAGGGTCTGACACAGGAAAAACTGACAGCTACATTAAAAAAAAAAAAAAAAAAGCTTAGTAGGACTTCTCATAGTACTAGTGCAAATCTGTTTCATTACTTGAATATAGGGTAAAAGCTAGATTCAGGCACCACAGATTCAGTTTCTCTCATTTCCTTAGTTACTTTCAAGATTTGACTATGAAGATTTTGTTGCTCACATGAAATCAAATGTATGTAGAAATATCATATTTACTCCCATCTAAGACAACCCTGAATTTAAGATGATCCCCAAATAATTAGATTCTATATATGAAACATTTATAAATTTGTTATAATTTTTCCAGGTATAGAATCCAAGTATCAGAGGATTGCCTTAAATTTGCCCCCACCCCCACTGCTACAACAGGGAAAGCAATGCCTGAGGGAGTCAAGCAGCCCGCTTGCTTCCAACTCCCCTCACCCTGATTTCTTCCCCTGCATCCTTCCTGCCCCCCACCCCAGCTCCTCACAGTCTCTGTCCCTTTTCTTCACTCCCCAGCCTCTGCCTCTTCCCTGCCCCCAACCCTTACTGCCAGATGTTCCTGGGACTCTGTTCCCTCCCCAGAGCACAGCATGTGGAAGCCCCTGCTGGCCAGGGAGCAGCATTAGCACTGCTGATTGGCTGGGCAGGAGATGGAGTTCCATGTGCTCTGTGCCTTGGAGGGAATGCAGCCAGAGCTGGAGCCGGAGCCAAGCTGTGCTTGACAGTAAGGTGGAGGGAAGGAGGCAGAGGAGAAGCAGAAGCTGCAGAGGGCAAGTGGAGGGGGGACAGGCGGCTGCTGTGGGTCTGACTCTGGCCCTGATTTGGGTTCAGGGCCAGACCTGCAGCAGCCACTGCCACCCCCGCCCCACCCCATTTTGTATTCAAGCCTAAAATGAGGGGCTTTTCCCTGTATGCTGATGGGGGAAGGGGAAGGAGACACCTGGTCTTAAACTTGAGTAAATATGATACATTGGGAGATTATCTAGACAAAAATACACCTGGACATTTTCTAAAAGATACCGTTCGGGCTATTTCATGAAGGACTAGGATAGTATAAAGCCAAATAACTCAGCTGGAAATTTATAATAAAAACAACAACCAACCAAGCTAGCAAAGTCTCTCTCTCTCTCTCTCTCTCTCTCTCTCTCTCTCATTTTGTTTTTGGATTTCTACAAGTCTCATGTTCCTAATCTTGATTCTGGTTTTGTCTTCTAGTAATACTTACTTTTTTGAAGAGCTATATTACCATTTTAGATATCTTATGATTACTAGAAGTAGTATTTCACTCATTTATAACTCCTATTATCTAAGTCAGTTTTCAGGAATGAATTCCCAGTTCACACTCAGCGGCTTAGAGCGCTGCCCCAGACTTTTGACCACTGACAGATATGAAAAACAAAACAAAACCGTGGTTTACTGGAAGAGGCATCACATCAATTTAATCTAGTTTGCCCAACATCTTCATAAATCACATGCTTCAGTAGGGCTTTTTGGCCTTTTTATCTAATGACTGATTCAATTGCATTATGAAAACATATTTTTCTTTTTGTTCTTTTGTCTCTCATCCAGGGCTTTCCTCATGTCATTAGGTATCTGATGTGTGTGTGTGAGAGGAACATTGTAATAGCAACACTTTGGCTACCACAGCCCTTCTGTTCTCTCATGTTATTGTTTCAAGAGGAATCAAGAAACTTGGTGAGGATTTGAAGGAGCTCTTCTATTTTATCATCTTTGCAGTTTCAGCTAACAAAATAGGGATGTGGTGTGCTCTCTTTTCTAGGTTTTGCAAAAGGTTCTAGGTTCTGCAATCAGCTATTAGATAAAAGCACCAAAAAGCCCCACTGAAGTGTGAGATTCATACACACATTGGGTGAGGTGGGCCAAACTGACATGATACCTCTTTTGGGCATGCACTATGTTTGGTGCGGGGGTGCCACCGAGCTGAAAGTAAAGCACTGGTGTTTTTTGTTTCCCCCCCCCTCACGTAATCAGTCTTTATTGAGCAACAAAATGGCTCAAATTGTTCACTGTTACATGCTTGCAAGCAAACTAGAGCAGTCAGATGTGCAGATTAAGAGGTAAGAAGAGAACTTTAAAAACACAACCTACTCATTACTCTGCAGCAACTGATGTGGCTGATATGGAAGATCTAGCAGAGTCACCTTTTCAGCAAGCAACAGCTAGGCAGCCTTTCTCCAGCGAAGAAAATGATCATAAAAATAATGGTGAAAAATGGGAGATTTGCAAAAGAAGTTCATAGTATTATAGAACCATAGGAAGTTGTTAAGCTCAGTAACATGCTTGAACAAGACACTGTGCGCAGTCTCAAACTTCTGCTTCTTCACCAATGGACAACCCACCCTGCATAAAAAATAATTAGTGCTGAGTACTGGGGTCCTTTTCTGTAGTGGTTCTGTTGCTTTCAGCACATAAACCCTGTTGTACACACCATGATGCCCAGTATGCTGTCAGTGCTACCTGTATAAACAAATGCAGTGGCATATATTTGATAAATCATTGGTCTCAGATGGACTTGTATGTCCCATAGTAAATTGAGTCAGGTGACTAATTATAGTTCATAAATAGGAACACTTTTCTGAGTTGGGGTGTGAACAGTGATGTTCATCCTGGAACTTAAATGGACACATATCTGGAAGCTATGAAGGTACATATCAAGTGGGAGGTATATTATGGGAGTGACATGCATCTATTCTCTTCTGTCTTATGCATTTTTGACTAGCACAGGGATGCTGCTCTGGAGATTGATCTTCAGGCCTCTTGCAGTTGTGAAGCAGGTTTAATTTTACTAATTTGGAACAGTATCTAGCCAGTAGTAATGTGCATCTGAACAAGTTAGAAGATAGGCTGGCTCCCTCTTTGAATATTTCTGTAGTATATTGGGTTGTTTGAGAACAAGTATCACCTCTGATCTCAGGTTGCTATCGGATTTTTTTTTTTTTTTAAATATAAAAACTCTGCCTATCAATCCCATTCCTATCCATTTTTTGAAAAGTCAGAGAACAAGTATCCCCTCTGATCTCAGGTTGCTATCGGATTTTTTTTTTTTTTTTTTAAATATAAAAACTCTGCCTATCAATCCCATTCCTATCCATTTTTTGAAAAGTTATTATTTAGTGGATTGTCAATTTTTTCACAATATAATTTTCTATTTGCTTTGTTTGTTTTGCTCAGTAGTGAAATAATTAATGATGACCAGTTATGATGAATGGAGTTATGGTAAAATTAGGAAGCTGTGGCCTTGACAACCTTATGGTCCAGTAGGTGGGGAACTGGCTCTGTGGTCAGATACAGAGAGCGATAGTTAATCGAACTGAGTTAACATGGTGCATGATGACCAGTGGCGTCACCCAGGGCTCAGTACTCAGACCAGTACTCTTTAATATATTCATCAATTATCTGGATTCAGCTGTCAGATGCAGACTGGCATCTGACACCTGGGGATGACATCAAATTATGGGGAAGTGTGGTCACGCTAGAGAGGATAGGCTGGCAATTCAGGTCAACCTGGACAAGCTCCCAAGGTGGGCGCATCAAAACCTGAAGACAGTCAACACAGAGAAATGCAAGGTGCTTCACCTCGGAAGAAAAAACCTACATCATACTTATAGATTCAGTAGTGCTACACTCACTAGCACCTCAACCGAAAGAGACTTGGGGATCATGATTGACCACAAGTTGAACATAAACCATCAATGCAATGGCAAAGCAAATAAAACTCTGGCTTATATCTACCGATGCATCTCAAGCAAGATCCAGGAAATCGTTCAAAAAGCGAGCCTGAATCGATTCAACCTTTGCAGGTTAGTCTAGCCTGCCTAGGTTGAACCAGTTTAACAGAACAGACATGCAGGCACATGCCTACAGTTGCTCAGGCCAGAGGCCACTGCAGGGAAGATGTGAACTCGAGTGGGGGGGAATGGACAATCTGGGCTGAACTGGGCAAGGAGAGGTTTAATTCCACCCTCGCTGTCCCACCAGCTGGGACCTGAGCCAGGTCTGCTGGGCGCTCCCCCCTTGCTGCTGCAACAGCAGGGTACCATGGACCCTGAGGAAGAGGGGGGGAAAGACAGGAGGGCTAGTGTCCCCTCTAATCCCACTAGTAGCTAGGTCTGCCTGTCATTGCGCTTGCTCCCTGCAGGGGAATAGACCCCTGCTGTCCGCTCCACCAGACACAGGAGGAAGGGGGAATAACCTCGTCCCTGCCCCCCACAAGGGGCCTTGCTGGCAGGTGTCTGGCTATGCTCCCACCATGCTGCTGCAGCAGGAGGGGGAAGGCCCCTTGGTGGGGGCAGCAGCCCCTGTCATAATGTTGGGGAGCACAAGCTCCTTCCCAGTGGGGGGGTCCTGCTGCAGAGCTGTGACAGGCTGCATGCGGCAGTGCCAGGGCATGGAACCCAGAGCCCTCCAAGCCCCCCACAGTGCAGCCATAGCCCACAGCACCTTTCCCCCCTCCCACAGCTTGCTCTTCCTGCTGCAGTCTCCCAGATCCGGCACCAGTGCAGCGGCGCTTACCTGGGCCCGCTCGGAGGCACCATCGGGGCTCGTGGGGTCTCATTGAGCCTCTGTGTTGGGCAGCTGCCAGGCTCCGGGCCTGCAGTCCTTCTGAGTGGGCCTGGGTAAATGCTGGGCTGTGCTCGCTGACAGGGGAGGCAGCTTCCCACTGCACTCACCTTACCATCACTGAGCTGCATCCGCCAGGGGTGGCCCTGCCCCAGCAGCCTGCCCCAGCCCCACCAGGCAGCTGCCTTAGCTGGGGCTGAGTGAGGCCAAGCCATGGGGCTGAGGCCACCCCCAACAGCTGCAGCTCCATTACAGCTGCTCCCCATGCCCTGGCTGGGCCAAGATGCACTGCAAGAGCCTCCCTTCCCCCGGAGGGCGGGGGTAGGAGGAGGGGGAAGCGTTTCCCCCAGCACTGAACAGATCCCCTCCTCCCGCACCCTGCAGAGGGGAAGTGTCCCCCTCCAGGCCCAGGGCTGGGCAGCCTACACAGAGCCTCCCATCCCCTCGGCAGTGGGGTTGAGGGAGGAGTAGGAAGAGGAGGGGGAATAGTACCTCCCAGCATGGAACAGAGCCCCCCTCCCTGCCCTGTGGGGGAGAAGGAGGGGAAAAGTCCCCATCTGGGCCCAGGCAGCATTACATAGAGCACCCCCTCCCCACCCCATGGTGGTTGGGGAGTGTAACAGGTGGCCCTCCTCAGCGCCATCTTCCCTGTTAATCCGCACCTTATGTGGGGAGCCCTTGGAGTCCTCATGTCCTGCCCTCTACTCAGCTGCCACATCTTGATGGAAATTATTGTTGATGTTCTTGCAAATGGGAGACTGCCTATTGTATCTTGTATGTTGGGGTCTTTCACCTACATTGGCCTGACCCCTGTCTTTTTCTAGCTAGGCCTCCCCATCTAAAACCCACCAAACAGGGTTTGACTCCAAGGCTCTAGACTTTTCTGGTGTCAGGCCTTGTTACAATTTGGCCCCCTGGTCCTCCCTGGGCTCTCCACAGCCCTCTCACGCTGTGCCTTTACTGGCACGCGGACTCCCTGCAGCCCTGTCTCGCTCTGCACCTCTCTGGTGCTCAGGGTCAGTGCACCCCAAATGCTACGCCTTCTCTGGCACCAGGGTCAGTGCACCCCACAAATGCTGCACCCTCTCTGGCACCGGGATCCCCACGCTGCCGTGGGTCCCCTATGAGGCCTCCTCCATTCCCTAATAGCCTCACTCAAGCCACCAGTGTTATTCAATAATCAAAAAAAGGAAAAAAATAATAACTGCCACCAACCAATATGATCAAGCAAAGCAGATCAGCTTACATTCGCAGGGTTCATGCTTCAGTTCCCTACCGTCAGCTACAGTCCTTACTGTGGTGTGACTGCCTTCCCTCCAGAGCTTCCATAGTTCCCACCTTTGGACCACTCACCCAGCTTCTCCATAGAGCTCTCTGAAACACTTCTTCCCCTTTGGCTGCTGTCCCCCTTACTGCCCCTATGCCCAGGGTTTTTATAGTCCTGCCCCTTCCAGTCAGCTGACTAGCTGGCCAGGTTCAGCATTTAACCCTTTCCTTACCAGCACTCCATGCCCAGAAAGTTCTGGCCTTAAAGGGGCGGACCTGCTTTCTGGTGACAGGGCTAAGGTTCCCTGTTACAGGGAGGAACGGTCGGAAGACAGGAAGGGGCCTCTATATGGCTATAGCCTCAGCTTTAAATGTTTTTTCTACATGCCTCAAGGTACCAGGCATGGTTCATGAATGCTGCAATGGTGGGGTGGATGGAGCATCCCACAGGAGCATGGTGGGGGTCCCCCCGCACATTCAGCGGTGAACCCGGAAGTGGACCAGAAGCACATGGGGCACCCCCCCAGCTCAGTGATCGACTGCGGGGAGATCCTGGGTCCCACCCCAGACCCAGGAGGTACCAGCTGCTGAGCTGGGGTGCAGGGGGGGGTCCCCTGTGCACTCCCCGGTGGACCCACAAGTGGACCTGAAGTGCTTCTGGTCCACTTACAAGTCTGCTGCTGAGCATGCTGGGACGGCCCCGCACTCTGGTGGGACACTCCATCTGCCCCAGCATCTCAGCATTCACAAGTCACCTGGTACCTTCGGGTATGTAGAAAAAACATTTAAAGCTGTGTCTATGTCCGAATCATCGAATCTTTCTGAATCGATTCAGAAGTTTCCAATTCAATTCAGAGGAATTAAAGGGTCTCCTGATTTGATTTAGATTTGGCAATTTGATCACTGAACCAGGCTAGATCTCCACCGAATCAAATCACTGACCGAAGCTTGGCACAGCCCTAGTGTGCACCCCGTGCGGTGCAGCACTGCCTGCA